ACTATACCACTAGCCACAAGTATATCACTATAGTCATCACTATACCACTAGCCACAAGTATATCACTATAGCCACCACTATACCACTAGCCACTAGTATACCACTATAGCCACCACTATACCACTAGCCACCACTATACCACTAGCCACCATTATACCACTAGCTACCTCTATACCACTAGCCACCTCTATATCACTAGCCGCCACTATACCACTAGCCACCACTATACCACTAGCCACCATTATACCAATAGCCACCACTATACCACTAGCTACCATTATACCACTAGCCACCACTATACCACTAGCCACCATTATACCACTAGCCACCACTATACCACTAGCCACCGCTATACCACTAGCCACCACTATACCACTAACCACCACTAATACCACTAGCCACCTCTATACCACTAGCCACCACTATACCACTAGCCACCACTGTACCACTAGCCACCATTATACCACTAGCCACCAATATACCACTAGCCACCATTATACCACTAGCCACCACTATACCAATAGCCACCATTATACCACTAGCCTCCATTATACCACTAGCCACCACTATACCACTAGCCACCACTATACCACTAGCCAACATTATACCACTAGCCACCATTATACCACTAGCTACCACTATAACACTAGCCACCATTAGACCACTAGCCACCACTATACCACTAGCCACCATTATACCACTAGCCACGACTATATTACTAGCCACCATTATACCACTAGCCACCATTATACCACTAACCAACATAATACCACTAGCTACAACTGTACCACTAGCCACCACTATACCACTAGCCACCATTATACCAATAGTCATCACTATACCACTAGCTACCACTATATCACTAGTCACCAATATACCACTAGCCACCACTATACCACTAGCTACCACTATTCCACTAGCCCCCCCACTATACAACTAGCCAGCACTATACCACTAGCCACCACTATACCACTAGCTACCATTATACCACTATACCACTAGCCACCACTATACCCCTAGCCACCACTATACCATTAGCTACCATTATACCACTATACCACTAGCCACCATTATACCACTAGCCACCACTATACCACTAGCCACCAATATACCACTAGCCACCACTATACCACTAGCCACCACTATATAACTGGGCCAACATTATACCACTAGCCACCACTATACCACTAGCCACCATTATACCACTAGCCACCACTATACCACTAGCCACCACTATACCACTAGCCACCACTATACCACTAGCCACCACAATACCACCAGCCACCATTATACCACTAGCCACCATTATACCACTAGCCACCACTATACCACTAGCCACCACTATACCACTAGCCATCACTATACCACTAGCCACCACTATACCACTAGCCACCACTATACCACTAGCCACCACTATACCACTAGCTATCACTATACCACTAGCCACCACTATACCACTAGCCACCACTATACCACTAGCAACCACTATACCACTAGCCACTGCTATACCACTAGCCACCACTATACCACTATCCACCACTATACCACTAGCCACCACTCTACCACTAGCTACCACTATACCAATAGTCATCACTATACCATTAGCTACCACTATACCACTAGCAACCACTATACCACTAGCAACCACTAGCCACAAGTATATCACTATAGTCAACACTATACCACTAGCCACAAGTATACCACTATAGTCATCACTATACCACTAGCCACAAGTATATCACTATAGTCATCACTATACCACTAGCCACAAGTATATCACTATAGTCATCACTATACCACTAGCCACAAGTATATCACTATAGCCATCACTATACCACTAGCCACTAGTATACCACTATTGCCACCACTATACCACTATAGCCACCACTATACCCCTAGCCAATATTATACCACTAGCCACCATTAGACCACTAGCCACCACTATACCACTAGCCACCATTATACCACTAGCCACCACTATACCACTAGCCACCATTATACCACTAGCCACCATTATACCATTAATCACCATTATACCACTAACCAACATAATGCCACTAGCTACAACTATACCACTAGCCACCACTATACCACTAGCCACCATTATACCAATAGTCACCACTATACCACTAGCTACCACTATATCACTAGCCACCGCTATACCACTAGCCACCACTCTACCACTAGCTACCACTATTCCACTAGCCCCCCCACTATACAACTAGCCAGCACTATACCACTAGCCACCACTGTACCACTAGCTACCATTATACCACTATACCACTAGCCACCACTATACCCCTAGCCACCACTATACCACTAGCTACCATTATACCACTATACCACCACCTCTAAACCATTAGCCACCACTATACCACTAGCCACCAGTATACCACTAGCCACCACTATACCACTAGCCACCATTATACCACTAGCCACCTCTAAACCATTAGCCACCACTATACCACTAGCCACCATTATACCACTAGCCACCACTATACCACTAGCCACCACTATATAACTGGGCCAACATTATACCACTAGCCACCACTATACCACTAGCCACCACTATACCACTAGCCACCATTATACCACTAGCCACCACTATACCACTAGTTATCACTATACCACTAGCTACCACTATACCACTAGCCACCATTATACCACTAGCCACCACTATACCACTAGCCATCACTATACCACTAGCCACCACTATACCACTAGCCACCACTATACCACTAGCCTCCACTATACCACTAGCCATCACTATACCACTAGCCACCACTATACCACTATCCACCACTATACTACTAGCCACCACTATACCACTAGCCATCACTATACCACTAGCCACCACTATACCACTAGCCACCACTATACCACTAGCTACCACTATACCACTAGTCATCACTATACCACTAGCAACCACTATACCACTAGCAACCACTATACCACTAGCCACAAGTATATCACTATAGTCATCACTATACCACTAGCCACAAGTATATCACTATAGTCATCACTATACCACTAGCCACAAGTATATCACTATAGTCATCACTATACCACTACCCACAAGTATATCACTATAGTCATCACTATACCACTAGCCACAAGTATATCACTATAGCCACCACTATACCACTAGCCACTAGTATACCACTATAGCCACCACTATACCACTATAGCCACCACTATACCACTAGCCACCATTATACCACTAGCCACCATTATACCACTAGCCACCTCTGCACCACTAGCCAACACCACTATACCACTAGCAACCACTATACCACTATCAGCCACTATACCACTAGCCACAAGTATATCACTATAGTCATCACTATACCACTAGCCAAAAGTATACCACTATAACCACCACTATACCACTATACCACTAGCCACAAGTATATCACTGTACCCACCACTATACCACTATACCACTAGCTACAAGTATACCACTATAACCACCACTATACCACTATACCACTAGCCACAAGTATACCACTATAACCACCACTATACCACTAGCCACAAGTATACCACTATAGCCACCACTATACCACTATAACCACCACTATACCACTATAGCCACCACTATACCACTATAGCCACCACTATACCACTATAGCCACCACTATACCACTATAACCACCACTATACCACTATAGCCACCACTATACCACTATAGCCACCACTATACCTCTATAGCCACCACTATACCACTATAACCACCACTATACCACTAGCCACTAGTATACCACTATAGCCACCACTATACCACTATAACCACCACTAGCCACTAGTATACCACTATAGCCACCACTATACCACTATAACCACCACTATACCACTATGGCCACCACTATACCACTATAGCCACCACTATACCACTATAGCCACCACTATACCACTATAACCACCACTATACCACTAGCCACCACTATACCACTATAACCACCACTATACCACTAGCAACCACTATACCACTAGCCACAAGTATACCACTATACCACTAGCCACAAGTATACCACTATAACCACCACTATGCCACTAGCCACAAGTATACCACTATTACCACCACTATACCACTAGCCACAAGTATACCACTATAGCCACCACTATACCACTATAACCACCACAATACCACTAGCCACCACTATACCACTAGCCACCACTATACCACTAGCCACCACTATACCACTATAACCACCACTATACCACTAGCCACAAGTATACCACTATAGCCACCACTATACCACTATAGTCACCACTATACCACTATAGCCACCACTATACCACTAGCCACCACTATACCACTATAGCCACCACTATACCACTAGCCACCACTATACCACTGTAGCGACCACTATACCACTATAGCCACCACTATACCACTATAGCCACCACTATACCACTATAACCACCACTATACCACTAGCCACCACTATACCAGTATAGCCACCACTATACCACTATATCCACCACTATACCACTATAACCACCACTATACCACTAGCCACCACTATACCACTAGCCACCACTATACCACTAGCCACCACTATACCACTATAACCACCACTATACCACTAGCCACAAGTATACCACTATAGCCACCACTATACCACTAGCCACAAGCATACCACTATAACCACCAATATACCACTAGCCACAAGTATACCACTATAGCCACCACTATACCACTAGCCACAAGTATACCACTATAACCACCACTATACCACTAGCCACAAGTATACCACTATAGCCACCACTATACCACTAGCCACAAGTATACCACTATAACCACCACTATACCACTAGCCACAAGTATACCACTATAGCCACCACTATACCACTAGCCACAAGTATACCACTATAACCACCACTATACCACTAGCCACAAGTATACCACTATAACCACCACTATACCACTAGCCACAAGTATACCACTATAGCCACCACTATACCACTAGCCACCACAACAACATAGAACTACTGACCTGCCAGGCGGCCAGATGGGCCTTGCGGTACTTTATGATGAACTCTGTGATGGGGTAGTAACTGTCGGTGACCCAGGTGAGGGTGTACTTGGTGCCCTCGGACCCCGCGGGGCTGCTGGTGACCTGCGGCGCCGCTGGCATCCCTGGGGGGAACACGGTGGAGAGCGGACGTAAGCACAGGGAGGGTGAGGTGGCTGGTGTAGCACTGAGACAAGAGATCAGGGAGCCCTCGGGGGAGTTAGAGATCCGGTTGGCTTGGTGGTGAGAGAGGCGGCTCTACAGGTCATGGGGGACACTGAGATGTTTACAAGCCTCTGAGAAGTAGGGAAATGAGACTAGTCATATGGAGTTCAGGTGTGGATGGTGGAGTATAAGCTGTCTCTGTGAGTCCCAGTGAGCAACATACATGGAGCGTGGGAAGGTCTAGCGAATGACAGCTTGTCTGGGATCCCAATGAGAAATGTTGGCTGCCCTGATGGCGAGGAGGTCAATTGGATGACGTTTGAGAAAAAGGAATGTGGCTTAGAAGAGAGAACAGTTGGGGAGACGTTCCTTAGGTAGTGTAAGTAGTTGATAGAGAGAGATCGCTGATGAAACTGCTGAGATGAAGATAGGTGACAACTGTGTCTAGGGAATAAGGAAAAGTGAAAACTGAGCTCTGGTGGATAAAGGAAGGTGAGAACTGAGACCTGATAGATGAGGGAAGGTGGAAACTGAACCCAGGTAGATGAGGAAAATTGGGAACTGAACCCGGAAAAAGGAGGGAAAGTGACCACTGAGCTCTCCTTGAATGTGAGTGGGTTCCCCTGTGTTAAGAAGTGTAATCTCAGGTACTTCTCGTAGAGCTGCAGCTAAATGGCGCCCATCTGTATTGGCTGGCCCAGTCGCACGTAACTCTTGATAATGAGCATTAAAATCCCCAGCAATAACTACATTTTCCTGTGTGGCCAAGGCAAGCACTGCCTCTGCTTCTAGTTTACGTCTAGACGGCTTGTAGACGTTGTATATGAGGAGCTCAATATTAGCCATATTCACTGTTACTGCTAATACCTCTACTCCATCCCCACATGAAACTGGGTCTATGTATCTTGCTGGGTATGGTGTTCCTGACTAGGGTCATTAACCCTCTTTGTCTCCCCTGCTCATACGGTATAATATAGTGCTGATATCCAGCTAATCTGGAGAACTTCGTGGCTGGGAAAAGAGTTTCTTCCAAAACAATTATATCTGCTTCTATAGTGACTGCAGCTTCCTGGAGAGTGTAGCTTGTGTAAGCCAGGCATGTTCAGCTGCAGTACTCGTAATGACCAGACGACGGTTTCCATAAGAGTTGCCTCTTCTAGTAGAGCTGCTCTTAAGTATCGACCTCTTTATTCCCCACTTCGCAAGTGGTATCGCTGCAAATCTGACTGCACTCATTACTTATTCTCATCTCTTGCATTGTTGGAACCTGTGCATCCCTGTTGTCCATCACCACTGTTGGTGTTCCTGCACGGCGGACTGTGTCAAGTGTTCATCCCTGTCTCTTGTGTTGACACATCCCGTTGATCTTGAGGGACCAGGGCTTCAGGCAGCTCCCTGTCTCTTGTGTTGACAGATCCCGTTGATCTTGAGGGACCAGTGCTTCAGGCAGCTCCCTGTCTCTTGTGTTGACACATCCCGTTGATCTTGAGGGACCTGTGCTTCAGGCAGCTCCCTGTCTCTTGTGTTGACACATCCCGTTGATCTTGAGGGACCAGTGCTTCAGGCAGCTCCCTGTCTCTTGTGTTGACACATCCCGTTGATCTTGAGGGACCAGGGCTTCAGGCAGCTCCCTGTCTCTTGTGTTGACACATCCCGTTGATCTTGAGGGACCAGTGCTTCAGGCAGCTCTCTGTCTCTTGTGTTGACAGATCCCGTTGATCTTGAGGGACCAGTGCTTCAGGCAGCTCCCTGTCTCTTGTGTTGACACATCCCGTTGATCTTGAGGGACCAGTGCTTCAGGCAGCTCCCTGTCTCTTGTGTTGACACATCCCGTTGATCTTGAGGGACCTGGGCTTCAGGCAGCTGCTTCTGTGCATGTTGATGGTCAGGGGACTTGACCACCTGGCTCTTGTTGGTAGTGTGTGTGTCAGTGTCGTGTTGTTTGTCCTCCTGTGCTCTCTCTTGTGCTGGTAGATGAGGAAAGGTGACATCTGAGGGGTGGTAGATGAGGAAAGGTGACATCTGAGGGTTGGTAGATGATGAAAGGTGACATCTGAGGGGTGGTAGATGATGAAACTTGACATCTGAGGGGTGGTAGATGATGAAAGTTGACATCTGAGGGGTGGTAGATGATGAAAGGTGACATCTGAGGGGTGTTAGATGATAAAAGGTGACATCTGAGTGCTTGCAGATGGGAGAAGGTTTGTAGATGAGAAAAGATGGCAGATGATCCCAAGTAGATGAGGAACGGTGACAACTCATAAATGATATGTTAAGAAAGGTGGTGACAACAGAGCCCTATAAGAGGAAGAAAGGTGACAACAGAGCCCTATAAGAGGAAGAAAGGTGACAACAGAGCCCTACAAGAGGAAGAAAGGTGACAACAGAGCCCTACAAGAGGAAGAAAGGTGACAACAGAGCCCTACAAGAGGAAGAAAGGTGACAACAGAGCCTTATAAGAGGAAGAAAGGTGACAACAGAGCCCAACAGGAGGAAGAAAGGTGACAACAGAGCCCTACAAGAGGAAGAAAGGTGACAACAGAGCCCTACAAGAGGAAGAAAGGTGACAACAGAGCCCTACAAGAGGAAGAAAGGTGACAACAGAGCCCTACAGGAGGAAGAAAGGTGACAACAGAGCCCTGCAAGAGGAAGAAAGGTGACAACAGAGCCTTATAAGAGGAAGAAAGGTGACAACAGAGCCCAACAGGAGGAAGAAAGGTGACAACAGAGCCCTACAAGAGGAAGAAAGGTGACAACAGAGCCCTACAAGAGGAAGAAAGGTGACAACAGAGCCCTACAAGAGGAAGAAAGGTGACAACAGAGCCTTATAAGAGGAAGAAAGGTGACAACAGAGCCCAACAGGAGGAAGAAAGGTGACAACAGAGCCCTACAAGAGGAAGAAAGGTGACAACAGAGCCCTACAAGAGGAAGAAAGGTGACAACAGAGCCCTACAAGAGGAAGAAAGGTGACAACAGAGCCCTACAAGAGGAAGAAAGGTGACAACAGAGCCCTACAAGAGGAAGAAATGTGACAACAGAGCCCTACAAGAGGAAGAAAGGTGACAACAGAGCCTTATAAGAGGAAGAAAGGTGACAACAGAGCCCTACAGGAGGAAGAAAGGTGACAACAGAGCCCTGCAAGAGGAAGAAAGGTGACAACAGAGCCTTATAAGAGGAAGAAAGGTGACAACAGAGCCCTACAAGAGGAAGAAAGGTGACAACAGAGCCCTACAAGAGGAAGAAAGGTGACAACAGAGCCCTACAAGAGGAAGAAAGGTGACAACAGAGCCCTACAAGAGGAAGAAAGGTGACAACAGAGCCCTACAAGAGGAAGAAAGGTGACAACAGAGCCCTACAAGAGGAAGAAAAGTGACAACAGAGCCCTACAGGAGGAACAAAAGTGACAACAGAGCCCTACAAGAGGAAGAAAGGTGACAACAGAGCCCTACAACAGAAAGAAAGGTGACAACAGAGCCCTACAAGAGGAAGAAAGGTGACAACAGAGCCCTACAGGAGGAAGAAAGGTGACAACAGAGCCTGATAAGAGGAAGAAAGGTGACAACAGAGCCCTACAAGAGGAAGAAAGGTGACAGAGCCCTACAAGAGGAAGAAAGGTGACAACAGAGCCCTACAAGAGGAAGAAAGGTGACAACAGAGCCTTATAAGAGGAAGAAAGGTGACAACAGAGCCCTACAGGAGGAAGAAAGGTGACAACAGAGCCTTATAAGAGGAAGAAAGGTGACAACAGAGCCCTACAGGAGGAAGAAAGGTGACAACAGAGCCTTATAAGAGGAAGAAAGGTGACAACAGAGCCCTACAAGAGGAAGAAAGGTGACAACAGAGCCCTACAAGAGGAAGAAAGGTGACAACAGAGCCCTACAAGAGGAAGAAAGGTGACAACAGAGCCCTACAAGAGGAAGAAATGTGACAACAGAGCCCTACAAGAGGAAGAAAGGTGACAACAGAGCCTTATAAGAGGAAGAAAGGTGACAACAGAGCCCTACAGGAGGAAGAAAGGTGACAACAGAGCCCTACAAGAGGAAGAAAGGTGACAACAGAGCCCTACAAGAGGAAGAAAGGTGACAACAGAGCCCTACAAGAGGAAGAAAGGTGACAACAGAGCCCTACAGGAGGAAGAAAGGTGACAACAGAGCCCTGCAAGAGGAAGAAAGGTGACAACAGAGCCTTATAAGAGGAAGAAAGGTGACAACAGAGCCCTACAAGAGGAAGAAAGGTGACAACAGAGCCCTACAAGAGGAAGAAAGGTGACAACAGAGCCCTACAAGAGGAAGAAAGGTGACAACAGAGCCCTACAAGAGGAAGAAAGGTGACAACAGAGCCCTACAAGAGGAAGAAAGGTGACAACAGAGCCCTACAAGAGGAAGAAAGGTGACAACAGAGCCTTATAAGAGGAAGAAAGGTGACAACAGAGCCCTACAAGAGGAAGGTGACAACAGAGCCCTACAAGAGGAAGAAAGGTGACAACAGAGCCCTACAAGAGGAAGAAAGGTGACAACAGAGCCCTACAAGAGGAAGAAAGGTGACAACAGAGCCCTACAAGAGGAAGAAAGGTGACAACAGAGCCTTATAAGAGGAAGAAAGGTGACAACAGAGCCCTACAAGAGGAAGAAAGGTGACAACAGAGCCCTACAAGAGGAAGAAAGGTGACAACAGAGCCCTACAAGAGGAAGAAAGGTGACAACAGAGCCTTATAAGAGAAGAAAGGTGACAACAGAGCCCTACAAGAGGAAGAAAGGTGACAACAGAGCCCTACAGGAGGAAGAAAGGTGACAACAGAGCCCTACAGGAGGAAGAAAGGTGACAACAGAGCCCTACAGGAGGAAGAAAGGTGACAACAGAGCCCTACAAGAGGAAGAAAGATGACAAATGAGCTCTGGTACATGAAGCTCTGATACATGAAGGGAAGGTGACAATTGAGCCCTGGTAGATGAGGAAAGTT